TCTCTCTCTCTCTCTCTCCCTCTCTCTCTCTCTCTCTCTCTGTGTGTGTCTCTCTCTCTCTCTCTCTCTCCCTCTCTCTCTCTCTCTCTCTCTGTGTGTGTCTCTCTCTCTCTCTCTCTCTCTCCATCTCTCTCTCTCACTCAATCTCCTTCCCTCTCTTACGCGTACACACAGTGTCACATTAGCTTTACCTCCCTTCTCTCTCTCTCTCTCACACACACAGTGTCACTGGGAGTCACGGCCAGCCCGCGACCCACACGCCTCCACCTCCGCTCCGGCGGCGGCGGCGACGGAGGAGCAGGAGGAGGAGGAGGAGGGGGAGGAGGTCAGCGGCCGAAGCTGATGACAAACGGACACTTCACGCCGTACATGCAGGCGCGGTCGGCCGAGACGACGCCGGAGACGCCGGAGCACAAGTCTCCCTCTCCTCCGCAGCTGCTGCTACACTACAGCAGCCGACCCAGCATCATCACCAGTACGTAGCGAATAGTAGCGGTAGTGGTAGCGGTTGCACGTCATTACTAATAGTATTATGTATTATCATTACTGTAATTATTATTATTATTATTATTATCATCATCGTTGTGGTCGTCGTCGTTTTCGTCGTCGTCGTCGTCANCCTCTCTCTATCTCTCTCTCTCTCTCTTTCTCTCTCTCTCTCTCTCTCTCTCTTCTCTCCCTCTCTCTCGTTCTCTCTCCTCCCTCTTTCCTTCCCTTCCCCCTCTCTCTTCGTGCGTGCGATGATGATCAGTCAAGATGCGCACCGGTGCATGCGTATCGACGCTCCGTCGTCAGAGCCCTAACTCAGCCGTGCGTGCGCAGAGCGGGGGTTGCATGGATTCCTCCTCCTTGTTAACTAGCCTCCGCACCCCAGCACCCACACACGACATATCACCATCTCGTTTCTTTCAGCCAGCCGCGTTGTGGCCATCGCAGTGCGGTGACTGACAGATCATCAGCTTCTAGCTGTCGGCAAGTTGTTTTGTTCTAGCAGCCGAGGTTTGCTTCGATAATGACGTCATCGCTGTCATGGTCGTGAGCCAGCTTTAGATTTGTAAACATATCGTGCAGATGTATGTCAACGCAATTATCGTGTTTCTAATGTAACTGTATTTACAATCGATATACATCACTCACCTTGTGTTATTATCTACTCTTGATATATATGTGTGTGTGTTCGTTCTACCTCACACAGCTCTATGGATGAAGCGTCAACAACACCGCACATCAGCGCCACGTATCGGCCCGAACATCGCCAATGCCACGCGATGATGACGTAGGAGGCGGGCCACGTGGCCCGCCGCAGCCGATGGCGACGTATACAGGCGCGCGTCGGCGCCGCCACAGACGAGCAGCAGACGCCGCGCAGACGGTGCCGCCAGACGGCGCTGCACGCAACGACTTCGAGCGCCACCTGCTGGTGGCCACCGTGCGCGCGAGTCACGGAGCGACGGTCGGCAGCGGTCTGCCTCCCGTCGCCACGACCTACGGACTCGTCGCTCCCGCCGACGACGTCGCCGCCGCTGCCCCGGATGTCGTCGGCAAGCTTTCCCATCACGTGACCGACCGAGTTTCTGGGAATTCTCCCGCCGACGCGATGCCATCTGGAAGTACTCCACAGCAGACGGACGGACGCAGCGCCCCCGCGTGGCAGACTAACGGGCTCAGCGCCACCTCACGGCAGACTAACCGACGCAGCGCCGCCTTGCGGCAGACTGACGAACGCAGCGCCGCCTCGCGGCAGACTGACGAACGCAGCGCCGCCTCGCGGCAGACTGACGAACGCAGCGCCACCTCGCGGCAGACTGTCGCAGCTAGTCCGCGCTCGCCGCGCCGCCACGGTCGCGTCGCCGTCAACCACGACAGCGACGACGAATTCAACTTCGAGGATCTCAGCGAGACGATCGAGATGAGGAGCACGCAGCATCATCCACCGTTCACGGCTGACGCGGCAGTGACGCGGACGACGACGGCGACGGCGACGCAGCGGCAGCAGCAACTGCGTCACGCGCAGGATTGGCTGCTCTCGGAAGTCAGCAGCGACGACGGAAGGTCGTCGGCGAGCGGAGAGGTGAGGGTGACGTCATCGAGGTCGCAGGTGAACGGCGAGCCGGCGGGCGGTCAGGCGGCTGCAGCCGATAGCTCCACGACAGAGTACAAGGTAGGTCAACTGGTGACAAGGCACATATATATATATATATATGTGTGTGTGTGTGTGTGTATGTGTGTGTGTGTGTGTGTGTGTGCGCGCGCGCTGCGTGGTGTGCTGTGTGCGTGCGTGCGTGCGTGCGTGCGTGTGTGTGTGTGTGTATGTGTGCGTGTGTGTGCGTGTGTGTGTGTGTGTGTGCGTGCGCGCGTGGGTGCGTGTGTGCGTGTGAGAGAGAGAAAGAGAGCTATTTGTATTTATGTGTGAGTCAGGATGGTTGCAGGGTATGTGTCTGTGTGCATCGCATATAGCGTGATATATATAGTCCGTCTATCGCATATACAGTATTAAAAAATATCATGTGATTGCGTTGATGCGAGATTATTGTGGAGGACTTTCCAGGTGATTGGTGGCTATTCAATTGTGTTTATCCAATTAGGAAGAAAATTTAGGTCAGGGAACAGAACCATTAGAGACAGTGAGGGAGAAAAAGAGAGAGGGAGAAGCGAGAGAGCGTGAGAGACAGAGAGGGAGGGAGAGAAAAGGAGAAAAATAGAGGGGGGTTAGAAGGAGGGAACGCGAGGGGAAGAAAGTGGATAAAAGTGTATTCATTGAAGTATATATATACAATATTTATTTAATAATGTGAAGAGTCTGGGTCATGCAATGACTAAAATAAAGAGGGAGATGTAGATAGAGCGAGA